AGATTCTCACGATCCCCAATTTCCCCAAATTCTCACGTTTTCCCCAATTTCCCCCCAGATTCTCACGTTTTCCCCAATTTCCCCCAAATTCTCACGTTTTCCCCAACTTCCCAACAGGAACACGCCGATACGGAATGGAAATTCGCTCGCACCAAGCTGTGGATGTCCTACTTCGAGGTGGGCAACACCCTGCCTCCTCCTTTCAACATCTTACCGACACCGAAGAGCTTCATGAGGATGTGTGGCAAGAGCAGCCGCCAGGAGGAACTCGTTCGAAGGATGTCGTCAAGGGTAGGTGGTTGAGGAAGGGGGAGAGGGGAGGGAGGTTCTCTCTCTCTCTCTCTCTCTCTCTCTCTCTCTCTCTCTCTCTCTCTCTCTCTCTCTCTCTCTCTCTCTCTCTCTTCTCTCTCTCTCTCTCTCTCTTTCTCTCTCTCTCTCTCTCTCTCTCTCTCTCTCTCTCTCTCTCTCTCTCTCTCTCTCTCTCTCTCTCTCTCTCTCTCTCTCTCTCTCTCTTGCCTGCTTACTCGCTCACTTTCTGTCTCTCAATCAGAAAACAAGTTTTCAAAGGCATATATTTATACTAAACTATACAATATTATACTATACTATGCTATACTATGGTATACTGTACTCTCTTCTTTTCTCCTTCCCTCTCTCCTCCACCTTTTCGCCTCTTTTTAACCCCCCTGTCCTCTTCATCTTTCCCCTTCCCTTTCTTCCTTACCCTACTTCTCTCTTGTTCACTTCTCTTCTTTTCCCTCCTTTTCCTTCTTTTCCCTTCCCTTCCTCTTTTGCCTCCTCTTTCTTCACTTTCCTCCTTTTCTTTTATTTATCCTTCCCCTTCCCCCCTCTTCCTTCTTCCTACTCTTCTTCCCTCCCACTTCCCCTTTCTCCTTCCTCCTCCATCTCCATGCCTTCCCTTTCCCCGCTTCCCCCCATTTTCTTCCCTCCCCTTCCTCGCTTCCCTTTCTCCTCCATCCATTCCTCCACATCTTCTTCTCTCTTTCCTTTTTCCCCCTGCCCATCTTCATTATTCCCCCTCCCCATCTTCCTTTTTCACCCTACCCTTCCCCTTCCTCCTTCCCCTCCTCCGTCGCTTCCCCTTCCCCCCTCCTACTTCCCCTCCTCCGTCGCTTCCCCTTCCCCTCCCCTTCCCCCTCCTCCTTCGCTGCCCCTTCCCTCCCCATCTTCCTTTTCCCCCCCTCCCCTTCCCCTTCTCCCTCCTCCCTCCTTCTCCCTCCCCTTCCCCTTCCCCTTCCCTTCCCCCTCCTCCTTCGCTCCCCCCCCCACCAGACCCACTCCCGCCGTCGCAAGGCCCGCGATTACCGCTACCTGTCCGTCATGCGCGCTCTCCTGTGGCGCTACGTGTGCTCGCTGCAACGCCGAAACGAAGAGCGCCCCATCAACGAGGATGACATCAGCGAGGTCAAGGGTGACATCTCGTCGCTGCGATTCGAACTGATTGACCTCTTCGGCGCCAACGGAATGGATGTCTCCTCTTGTGCTAAGAAGAGTAGGGGTGAGTTCGCTTTGAGTTCTTTGGTTCGATCGGGGTGGGGTGGGGCGGGGGGTTAACCTGCTTGTGGTTGCTTGTTTTCATGAAAGTTACTTATTTGTGTGAGACTGTGCGAATAAGTCTCTTTCGCAGTCAGATATTCATTATACGTAGCCAAAAATTATATATATATATATATATATATATATATATATATATATATATATATATATATATATATATATATATATACATATATATAAACATTTATACTAACCACGAAACCTCTTTATTTTCTCCCCCTCCCTCCACCGCAACCCACCGACACCTCTCTTCCTTCCCCCTTCTCCCCCCTCTGTCCCCTCTCTCAACCTCCTCACCCCCCCACAGCTGCCCTGGGCCGCAAGATGCGCGTGTGGGAGCGACGGCTGATGCGCGACTTCCACGTGTCTCCCGCCATGGGCTCTGAGGATCCTAACCGCGAAGTGAAGGAAGCGCCTGTCGAGGAGGGAGCCAGCAGCCGCTTCAAGCGCGTCGCCAAACTCGCCATGGCCAACAAGCCCGCAGACCTGGCTAGCATCGTGGAGGGAGCTGCTCGCGCGTGAGTATTTGGGTTTACCGGGGCTGTAGATTGTGAGTTCGGGTCATCTACGTGTGTAGGTCACAGATTTTCGGGTTGTGGGTTATGCTTTCTTTAAGTGGCGGGGTGTGGTTTTTATTCTCTCAACCTCTCTAAAATTCTCATAGCATGGCCAAATGTGACTTATGATTAAAGTATAATTTCACCTGTTTAAACCCTAGGGAAGTTATAAGAACCAGTGGATGTCATAGGCGTACACCTGTAATAGTTAATGCCTTTGAAACTAATGAGTAAAATTAACAGTTTGCGTAATGATTCATACATTTCCTCGTCGGTCTTTGTTTCTTGTCTGTCTTCGATTGCATTTTTTTTTATGATCACTTCTCTCTCTCTCTCTCTCTCTCTCTCTCTCTCTCTCTCTCCTTTATCCGTTTGTTCATCCCTCCCCTCCGCCCCCAGGTCCCAGATCGGCAGCGGCAACACGGAGGGCCGCGAGAACCTGAAGGAAGCCATAGAGAAGGCCCGACGCAGGATGGAGGAGGGAACGCCCGACGGCTCCCCAGGCTCCTCCCGCGGATGCTCGCCCTTCCCCGACCTGTACACCGGCCCTCATCTCCTGGACGCCATCAAGAGCTTGGACCTGAGCCCCCACCATTCTCCCGCCGAGACCCCCATGCCTCCCGCCGACAGCAAGGGCTGGCAGCCCGCAAAGGATGGTAAGGATGGCACTGGGGTTTCGGGTGTGATGATACTCAGGCAGAGTTCTGAAGTGGCCTTTCATATGACTGTTCATGTTGCACCAATATTAAGCAAGTTGAAAAAAACATTCTGGAGAATATTTACTCTGATACTTTATCTTTCCTTGACCATATAGATTTTTTTCCTGCCTAACCAATGAAATTCGTCTACTCCCCCTCCCTCTCCCGCCCTTTTCCGCCCTCCTGCAGGCCAAGCCAAGGACCTGACCAAACTGACGGTGCCCGGACGCCGCTCGCCGACCTGCCTCAAGCGCACGGAGGGCTCCGGCAACGAGAACCTTAGCCTCGACGTCCCGACCAACGTGTTCTCGAAGGATTCCATCAAGAAGCTGAGCGGCATGAAGAAGGCGGAGACGGACAAGAAGGACGCCGCCCCCTCCAAGCCCGCCGTGTTGGTGACGACCGTGTCCGAGACGAAGCCCTCCGCGCCAGTCAAGAAGGAGGACGCGAAGACGCAGAAGGAGAGCGCGCCGGCTCCCAAGGCCGCGGTGGCGCCGAGCCCGGGCATGATCAAGCCGAGCCAGATTAAGGCGAGCGGAGTGCTTCCGACGAAGGACCAGGCCCCCGCCGCCGCGGCCAAGCCTGCCCCCGTGCGCATCCCGCCGCCCGTGGCCGTCGGGCTGCGGCGCATCGAGGGCGAGAGCGCCGTCCGCCGCCCCGTAGCGCCCCGCGTGCAGCAGGTGCAGCAGCAGCAGGCCTTCACCGGCTCCGATGAGCTGGAGACGGTGGACTTTGTGCGGCGCCCATCGCGGCTTCCGCCCAAGCAGGAGCCCAAGGAGGACATCCGCAAGTCCGTCACGCCCACCATCGCCGTGACGCCGTCCACGCCCGCACCCACCGAGACGCCCGTGCCGCCCTCGCCGCCCGCTAAGATGCCTACCAAGTTTGCCATCGACAAGACGCCGCCGCCCACGCCCAAGCCCGGCGACAAGCCCGCCGAGGACAAACCCGCCCCCGCCGCCGTCCCCAAGCCAGCCGCCAAGCCCGCGGCCGCCAAGCCAGCCGCGAAGCCCGCTGAGAAAGCCGTAGAAAAGCCGGTCGCCGAGAAGCCCGCCGCCCCTGCCGCCCCTGCCCCCACCCCCGAGAAGCCCGCTGCCCCGGCTGCCCCGAAGCCCGAGGAGAAGCCGGCCGCCGCCAAGGCCGAGGAGAAGCCGGCTGCCGCCAAGCCCGAGGAGAAGCCGGCTGCCGCCAAGCCCGAGGAGAAGAGCGACGCCAAGCCGGCCGCCGAGAAGCCGTCCGAGAAGGCCGCCGCCCCGAAGCCTCCGGGCGAGCAGAAGCCGGCCACGCCCCCCGCCGAGACCTTCAAGGGCAACTCGCCCACCAACCAGGCGGAGCCGCTGATCCGCCAGAGCCAGAAGAGCGGCGGCGGATGGCTCTGATCGAACTACAAAGAAAAACAAACCAAAAATAAATATTTTAAAAAATGAGATAACAGGTAACGAAACAAAAAATTAAAAAATATATATTTGATAACATATATTTTCCTTGCTGTATACACGTGGCTTCGGGAGCACCTCGTTTTGCAATGGCCAATTCGAGTGTAGCAATATCTTGCAACCCTATTTTAATCATGAACATGTAATCAGTCAGGTGTTTTAATAAGACTAATTAGTTGCATGTATGAATGACTTAATTTGCATAAAGGGTATGGCTTTTATTATATAGGCTTTGCTGATGATTATGTATGCGTACTGCACTTGAATTAATTATTTTCTTGCGTTTTTTGTGTACTTCTTATACTATTATTGTATTTTAAACTAGAACAAAATAATATTTATTAGTTACAAAAAAACTGGGGAAGATTCGTGATTATATTGCATCATGGTAAATATAGGAAAGTATTGTAGCTTTTAAGAGTTTTAATACTTAAGAAAAAAATGTATTTTGTTTGGTTTATTATATATGCAAACATTATCCCAATTAAACCGATATATGAAAAAATATAAAGGATATAAAAATATGCAAAAAAAAATAATTTAGCTTTTCATATTTAAGTTTCGTTTTATTGTTCATCAAACTTGCTATTGTATGTGATATCATTGTTATTAGCCTACGAAAATAAATAGAACATAGTGATATATTCTTAGCTCACCATAATGCTTAAACAGTTTTGAACGTGCTTATACTCTGCAGGATTACTTAGCTTGTAGTATTTCTTGATTTATGA